CCTTAAAACATGAATTTTGAACTTTGTCAGTGACTCCATTAGAAAGAGCACACTCGAAAACCTACAAAAACATATCTGAGAGATCTTTCCAGCGCTTTAAAATCCAATGTCTACATGCCTAGGCAGAATTGCCCACTGTGCGTTAACTGTCTATCACCATGCCATTTTAGAGCAGTCAACAGATTAAGAAAAAACTAGCATTTAATACGTTGGTTTAAACGATATTTATTTAAAGATGAAGAATTCCTAATGACAGAATCAGTAATCCTTCTCGTTCTTTTCTTTTTAGTATTCATCACAAGTAGCAGCTTTAGACCTTGATTATAAGCCTGATGTTAAATCAATTATTGAATTAAAACCAAAACTATTATATTTATTTGGTGCTAATGAAGGTCTTATTAAACGTCAGGATTTGCCGAATGATTGTTACATAATTTATCAAGGTATTAACTACTGAATACTTAACTTCATGTATAATATGTGTAATCGTTTGTTTGCATTATTTTTTTAAGTCATCATGGTGATCGTGGTGCATTAATGGCAGATGCAATTCTACCTGGAGCCGCTTACACAGAAAAACAGGGCATATATGCCAACACCGAAGGTTAGTTATTTTACTAGAGCAGATACCATTATATTTCATGTTATTTTTGTTGTTTTATTGAAAGAGGTCGTGCACAACAAACACATCTTGCTGTAACACTACCAGGCAAAGCAAGAGAAGATTGGAAAATTATTCAAGCTTTAGCTGAAGTATAATGAAATAATGAATCATATTAATATAAACTAATTGTGCTTTCTTGCTATTGATAGGTATGTGGTTTGACATTGCCCTATTGATGATGTTCGAGCACGTATTGATCAAGTCGCTCCAAATTTAACACGAATCAGTACAATTGAAGAAGCCAATTATTTTAAACAAAATGCCGATTTGTGACAGGTATCTATTTATTTATAATGAGAAACATATTGTCTTTTAACTTTCGATATTTTATTTAGAATCATAAAATATCGTTTACTGATTCAGCACTAACACCTCCAATTACCGAATTAAAAGGCTTTTATATGACGGATCCCATAAGTCGTGCATCATTAACAATGGCTAAATGTGTTAAAGCAGTTGAAGAACAACTGAAATCTCGGCACACATAAAATAGAGAATTTTTTTTTTCCTATAGAATAAATCAAATATATAGTAGACGATAATAAAGATTGGCAGAATTTCAAACAAGATTTTTTTACTCTGATACTTTTTTCTCAACAATGTTTATTGTGTACATTTTTTTTCTTTCTATGTGATATTCTGATTTTTTCTTTTTATTTATTAATAAAGTTAATTTCAACCTTATTTTCTACTATGAGAGATTTAATCATTTGTTTTGGGTTTTTTTTATTTGAAAGAGTAGAGAAGAAAAGTGAAGACATTTTATATTTTTTTTAAAGGAAACAATTTGTATAAGCTGAGAGTCTGTCTGCTTTCCAGAAAATATCATTATTCTTCAATTTTAACTGATTTGAGATCTTTTTCATTATTTTGTCAATATGAGAAGCCAATCAGCATTTATCTGGATTCTTTAGTTGAGCACTGAATAATTGTTTGAAGAGGAACTGCATAGTTCTACTATTTGACGTGTTGATTGAGATAATTCGTGTAAAAATGCTATTAGTCATTGCATAAGTATTGTTTTATCGACCAAATAACAAGCGTCTTCGATAAGAACTTTTTGTCTTCAACAAAATATTTAACCAATTAGATATGTCTCAGGATACTTACAGGGTGAACCAAACAAAACTTCCCCCCTGTGTATTTATTGACTTTCTTGTGTACAAATATAATTGAACTTTTTACCATTAGTTTATTCGAATAGAGCAAAGATTTCTGGAAGAAATGAGACGTCTCCAAGCTCTCGAAGAGCTTTTCTCATGAAACAGCATTCAATTTACGGAAGGTTTCATACCACCAAAATCGGGACAATTAATGGGCAAACAAGAAAAATATGCTCTTGGAACCTTCCGTAAATTGAATGCTGTTTCATGAAAAAAGTTCTTAGAGAGCTCGGAAACGTCTCATTTTGTCCAGAAATCTTTGCTATATTTGAATAAACTAATGATAAAAAGTTCAATTATATTTGTACACCAGAAAGTCAATAAATACACAGGGGGTAAGTTTTTTTTGGATCACCCTGTATAATAACGTATTCGTACACTTTTGTGAAAACTTCCAAGGACACGTCCGCTCTCCGAAGGAGATGGAAGTTTGAAGTTTATTTTACATTAATCAATAGTATTGCAAATACATGTAGATGTGTCTGTTCTACATATCCAGCCTCCTAAAATTTCTTATGAATATAAAATTAATGTATTTTTCCTGTTGTTTACTCTTATCGTGTTACGACGGTAAAGAACATTTTTTATTAAATCAGAATTCAGTCCAGCGTAACCGTAGAAAACGGATCGGTCAAAATAAATGTCACCCTTAGTATTTCGTTTTCACTCAATTTTCATTGCTTAGAATTCATCCTTTTCAGAGGAAATACTGTGAAGCTTCAATCTCGACCACTTTCAACACAAAACACAGCGGATAAAAGTCTATTTTCAACACGGTGCTATGGACACATTTTTGAAAAATCGATATTTAAAATTTTTTTAGCCGAAAAATGTGTTCCAAAATTGGGAGATTAAGATTTTTCTGAAAAATGAGTACTTTCTGTGTCGCTCTCCTCTAATGTCCACAGGTGTGGACATTTCATTACTGGACACGGTGCATCAAGACAACTTCACAATAAATTTCTCTTCTTGTATAATTGTAGAAAGGATTCTTGTAGCAATAGTTATCTATCACTACACCCACTGAAAAAAATAATCAAAATTCATGCAGGATCCCGCAGGACTTTGCGCAGGATCCCGCGGGTTATCGGTATTAAAATATCTGGCGATGTTTCTTACCTTTACGCAGGATTTTTATACTGCCAGCCCTGACAGAACCCTGCATGGTTTATGTAGGATCAGCATGGAAAAAATCCTGCGTAAAGGTAAGAAACATCCCAAGACTTTTTGACATATTTAATCCACAAGTTTTTTCCTACGAGATCTGGCAGAATTTTGTTCTCCATGTCTATCCTGCGATATCCAGCAATCTTTTCTCACCAATGTCTGTCAGGATGACCGTGGAGGAAGTTGTCTGTATTTTATTTTTTTTGGAAAGTTAAGTACTTTTTTCTTATAAAGTTATAAAAAATTTTCTCGTGTTAAATAAACTTCTAGAAAACGTATACCTTAATATTTTGATTTTAACACGCATTTTCATGTGTACAAAATCAAACTATTAATAGATAGCTGAAAAGATCTTTTTTATGTCAGGAATATTCTGTTTTTTTCGATCAATAAGACATTAAAGTCATTAGAATGATCACGCTACTGTGAAAAAAAGATGTATAGCAAAGCAGAGATATCACACTATTCTAAATTTCTTCAGCTTTGAATGGTATCTTCTTGTTTCGTCCCGTT